TACGATAAGAGCAGCAAAAGCGCTGCGTGTGAAAGGTGATTTTATCGCGATGCTTTCAGCGCATTTACTCCCGAAAATTTCAAAAATGTTGTTGGTTTTTTGGTGCGTAGTGTTTCTCAAGTTGTCCTTTTTTAGTCTCCCATTCAAAACAATCCAGGCTGGAGCACGCAATTTGTGAAAACATAGCTAATTCTGCCACCCAAAACTTTCTCCGCACCCTGTAAGAGCTTAATGTTACTGACCTTTGCGTCATTCTGGTTAAAGGATGACAGCTTGACGGTCCCGCCGGCAGTCCGTTGATATGGGGACGCGTCGCGTGTGGCCGCTGTGTTCCGGCCTTCCTGGCCGAGTAGAGGACTCTGGCGGACAGCGCCTAACGCAGTGCCTTGGCCGTCTGATGGCCGGCGTTGCAGCATCTGGAAGGCAAGTATAATAAATTTCATTATCAATTCGGGTCAAATGAGCGAGAGGGATAGAGAGAGAGAGAGAGAGAGAGAGAGAGAGAGAGAAAGAGAGAGAGAGCGAGAGCTAGAGAGTGAGGTGGTGGAAGGGAGAGAGAGAGAGAGATGAGAGAGGAAGGGAGAGATAATCGTACCTGATTCTGCATGCCTGGGGCGTAATTAGACGGCGCGGGTACACGAACCGGCGCCGGTACGGGTTGACCAGGCGGTACAGGGATTCGAGTCTGCAAAAGTACGAACTACACCAAATTTCACTTAAATTTCAGTTATGAATGCGGCTTGGAAGGTTTCAAATCGAGGCCTTCTCTTTTTCAGGGCTTGACAAAAATAAAAATAAACAATTCCTACGATGACATAAAGGCCTTGAAATTTAAATGCTAATTTATTTAGGATAGGTTAAAATTTGCTAGCACTTGTCTCAACACCTCTGCGTTATCTTAAAAGCCTGAAATTCTCACCTGTCCCACCCGTCCATAGGTGCCGTACTGTCCGTACTGCCCGTAAGCGGCTTGCTCTTCTTGACTGCCCCTCCTGGGCGCGTAGATGCCCTCCTGTTTTCCCTTGTGGATGGAGGCGTAGGCTTCTTGCTGCTAAAATGTTCAAAGTCGGGCTAGGAGAATGTGTGCTTACCGTATTCCACTGTCCCACCAGGGATCTTTGCATTGTTGAGGTGCTAGCGGGGGCTCTTTGGAGCGTCGCGGAGTAGTATTGGCCGGGTGGGTTGCGCTGAAAAAAATCGTATATTATTTTTCTGCATGAAAAAAGACAAACTAAGGTCTTGGTTTTTTATCTGGGCTTGAAAAAAATTATTCGAAATCTTCTCTAGTTTAGTTTTTTCGAGCTATTCGGAGTGACCTTAATTTGCCAATGCATTTTCAAACTTCTCGATACCTGAAAATTGGCATTCCCTATACTAAATTATCAGAAAAACCTTTTAAAATTTACCGGCAAAGTTTGGAACCTCGCGCCTTCCGGAGGGCTGCTGTTGCCGCGGAATTGGAGGGTTTGGGTGGGCTGTTGGGCTTGAGAGACTCGAGAGACCTAAAAACGCCAAAAATAACCCTTTTCCTATCAAAATATAGCCCGTAGATCTCACTACAAGTCTACTTTCAAGAATTACTCACCTGAGAATTGTCATCCGACGGCTTGCGCCCGATCAGTAATCGGTTCATCTCCGGCGTTTGCCGGACGTGCTCTTCCATGGGGATTTTTCTAAGAGTCGTACTTTATATCGTATTGCATTTGGGATGTTACCTCATCTGCGGGCTCTGGGGTCCTCCATTGGAACGTTGCCAGTAGACAGCTTCATCCGTTACGAGCTCTCCGCCACGCTGGCAAGCTCGGAGTAGAGACTGCTTGGTGGCGTGGTCGTCGGTGACGAACATCTGAAAAAGAAGGATATCTCTCTTCTCTCCCTCTCTCTCTTTCTCTCTCTCTCTCTCTCCCACTCTCTCTCGCTCTCTCTTTCGCACTACTCACCGTATCTCTATGCATCACTATCACTGCGTTCTTCAGTTTTGAGGGATTCTCATTGGTACGGACGTGACCGGCCGTCAGTCCTTTCTGAAAATGTACCCATTTTCGATCCAAAAAAAGATTCCAACCTGTAGTGCATAAATCTGATGCACATAGTGCGACACATTGAAGTCCCACTCCCGCTTGATTGTCAATAACAGCCACAGGAAGATGAGGGTGAACATGTAGATGACGTCGACGGCCAAGATGGAAAGGAGGATCGGCTTGTCGTCATGCTAAACTCAAAGTATGTTTCCTTAATCTTTTCCGCTAGCTTACTGCGGCTCTGAGAATGAACTTTGCTTACCTGCCAAATCTGAACAAAAGCGTAGACGTACGGCGCCTTCACGGCAATGATCAACACCAAGAGGAAGATGGTGGCCATATGAGGTCCGTAGCTGAAAACCGTACGGTTAGGCTTGCGTTCTCTCATTGTCTCTCTCATTATCTCTCTCCCTCTCTCTCTTTCTCTCCCTATCTCGCTCTCGCTCGCTCTCCCTCTCTCTCTCACTCGCTCTCTCTCTCTCTCTCTCTCTCTCTCTCTCTCTCTATAACTCACCCCTCACAGCACAACTCGGCCGTCCTATGGGCCTGATGTCTTCGGCTGAAGTCGGTGTACTCGCTGGTGCCGTGCCGGGAGACGTTCTTGGCTTGGTGGTGGGCGACGCTCATCTGGAATTAAAAACCTCCCTCTCTTGTCTCTCTTGCGCGTTCTCCCTCGCTTTCTCTCTCCAGCTCAACTTACAAAGTATTTGTTGTACCCGTAAGCATACAACATCATTCCGGCCAGATGCGTCAGTACGGCCGAGGCCAAAAATTCGCCCAACACCGCATACGGGTGCAGCATCTTCATGTTCTTGTCGTAAAGCAGGTATTGACCTAAAAAGCACGTAGAAAAATGGTAGCTTACGGGAGGTAGGCAAGGGATAGGACTTCGATGTTAAGAACCTACCGATTCCAACTGGTCGTATACTGTGGTAGTTCGTCTCCTGCACTCTGAATAGGATGGAAAAGCCGAGGTACGAGAAGACGAGCGTCGTCGAGAAGATCAGGAGGTGGAGGGAGAAGATGAGGGAGAACGGCTTGGAGACGCGCCAGAACACCTAGAAAAATGTATCGTCGCTCTCTTCGATCTCACTTTCTTTTTTTTTCTCTACCGCTCCCTAGCTCCTCCCTACATGATGAAAATTTTCTTACCGCCGGATACGAAATGCTGTAGGTAATCAGAGCAACGATAAAGTTGACGAATTCGAGCGGGATCCCGAAGAGCCGGAAGTGCATCAGGACTGAAAATGATGGCCTTAAAGGCGTCGCAAGCTAAGGATTCTATGGATTTAAATATCGTGGCGTGACAGGTTTTAAATGTACTGGAACATACTTGGCAACAAGTTCGGAGCTACAGGTGCGGCATTCAGCCGATCCGTGGTAATCGAAAATCCCTGCATCCTGGTCTCGCCGACTGGAAGATTTGTAGCGAGTTGTCGTGCTCGTTGGTAGACGAAGTCGAGTTCATTGTTGAGGAAGTCGCCTGAAAATATGGAAATCAGCGAGAAAGAAAGAGAGATAGATGGAGTGAGAGAGGGAGTGCGAGAGCAAGTAGATTTTTTTTTCTGGATTTCCCTCTGGTATGTTTTTACCTAATTACCCTCATCTGCCTTTGTTTTTCTACTTCCACGGTCGCTACTATGAGCAAAGGATGGGGCCAATTGTTGCCCCAGGTGCCGAGAGAAGGGCACAATGTGACCCCCATTGAGCCGTTATGTGTATAAGAGGGACAGGTGAGTGTGGCGACAAAGGGTCGCCTCTTCCTCCAAACGGATGAGTGACACTAATGGCACCTTGGGCCACACATCTCGCTCATCACCTGGGATCTGGGACACCGGAAAAGGTGGAAAAATATAAGCTGGATGTTTTAAGGACGAAAGGGATAGGGGAGAGAGACCGTGAGAAAGCGCTAGTGAGCATCAACTTCCTAACATCATACTTCTAAGATTAACATTTTTTCTGATCCCTCCGTATCGATACAATTCCAGCCGGGGCCCATCGACTCTCTATATTCGCTAGTAAAAACTTGGCCAGTCCTCTGGCAGACGGCCAACTAATTTCAGCCTCCGAAAGGGTATCCCCCACGCGGCACAACCCTATTCCACGGGCACCAATTTTACTATCGGCGGATGAGTACCACGCTGCGGACGCACCAAAATGGCCACTCCTGGGGGCCCCCTAGGGAAATTGGGAGAACGAGGAGGCGTCGGGTCAAGGAGGTCAGAAATAGTTTTTGTCCGCTCTCTTTATCTAGCGCGCTCGCAGTCCCTCTCGCTCACTCTCGCTCTCCCTTTGTAACTTTTTGTCAATGGTTCGCCATAAATTACTCTCTTGGCCCCCTAAAGGCTACTCCGCAACGCAAAGATTGACATGCAGAGAGAAATAGACAGAGAGGGGCAGGGAGGGAGAGGCGTCATTTTTGCGTTGGGCAATCGCTGTCACCGGATAATCCGCTCCGCTCTTTGGCATAGGCCATTAGATCGGGTTCTTAGGGCGGCTAGTTCTTTTAATGAGTCCTAGTTAAATTAGTGAGGGGAGAGAGAGAAAGAACAGAGAGATAGATAGAGATATAGAGAGAGATAGAGAGAGAGAGCGGAAGATAACGACAAACTCGAGAAGTACCGCCAAAATAACCGACCAGATTGAATAAACGCGTTCCTGTAGAGTTGGGCAATCATCAGCTGCTGTGCAACAAGTTGGGCAAGTGCAACGATGAGGTGGAGATGGTGTGGCAGTGGTGGAGAATGGGCCCAAAGGGATCGAAACCAGTGGAAACAACCTAAAATGGCTAGTTTTTTACTGGTTTAACACATCAATGATAGGTTCCAAAGATCCAAAAAGATCTCTGCTAGCTTGCCCACCTCGCTTCTCTCCAATTTGATTGATTCCAGTCTCGATCACTCGATCTTCTCGATCGGCCAGCCTCTCGTGATCTCCGGAAATATTTCCCGTCTTGAAGACTCCGGAGGCAAAGATGAACAACAGCCTAAAATTTTTTTAAAGGAACATTGAAGCCAAACTTACGCTGGGATACACGAAATGTAGATGATCACGTAGACGTTCAGCCAAATTTTGGGGTACCCGCCGTTTGCCGGCCATTTCATCTCATTGTAGAGTTTGTATCTAAGGTAGAAATTATAATAAATTGTATTTAAAATATAGAAAATCAAGAATTTATTATAACATAAAATGTGATACCAGTTTTTCTGGCAGATTTCGAAAAAATCGCCGATTGATGGAAAAAAGCGTTTTTAACACTGCAAAATAAAATTTTAAAGCTTTTATTTTTTTTTTAAAGGTTGGATTCAACGAATTAGGAATGTTCAATATTCAAAATAAATCAATCTGATAAACCCACCGCTCAAATCCCAAATAAATCAGGTAAACTTGCAGCAACACCACTAAAATGGTGTACCATATTGACCAGAGCTGGTTGAGACGGGCCTGAAAAACAAAGATTAAAATTAAATTAGCATCATTAAATACATAAATATCCTACTATATATAAAAAAAATAGTGTCTGTGTGTGTGTGTGTCCGTGCCACTTTGCATGCAACTTCCGTCAGCGTGTTCCAGTAGTAGCTCAATAAGGGGGGTAGTTAGGGGTATGTTTTATACGTCATTAGGTGCGTAATGGCCGTGGGATGACTGCACACTAATAACATTTTCAAAAATTAGCTGTTTTGGACGTTAAAATTAAGTTTTTGTTGAAAAATCGAGCACCTTCTTTGTTACGAAACAATTAGCATAGACCGGAAGTCACGGTAGCCTATATAAGGGAAGAGGGGTAGCGTTTCTCATTTTTTCATCGAAAACCGTGAGAATTATGCAAAGTGAAGAATATCATGGGATCAGACGGGGCCAGGGTTGAAAAGTCGCGAAGCGGCTTTTCAACCCTGGTTTAGCCATAAAATATCTGATGCTTACCCGAAAAACGCAGCCCATCTTTGTAAAATTGTGTGTGACGAATTTTTTTCTGGTGCCGCTTTACATCAGTGGGATTCTGGAATAGAGGTGTTCTATTTTTGGGTCACGTAATCGAGGGTTTTTGAAGGCACAGAAAAAAGAAAAATGTTGAAGGATTGCTGTGGAATTAATTGGGATCGGAAGAGGAATGAAAAGAGAAATAAACCGATGAAGCGAACGCAGCTGAAAAGAAAGCAAAAAATAATTGGGAAACCAAAATTAGAAAACGAACGGTGATGGCATCACTTTAAAGGGGTGGCGTCAGTAAAGCAGCTCCATGCTAATGCGGATGATTGCGTAGTGCAAAAAGCGCAGCGTAGCGAGCGTTTACGAAAAAGTAAAATAAGAATTTTTCTACAGTCAGAATTTTGCGACTATTATTGTTTTTGGTGGAATTTCAAAGCATCAAAAAGCGTTTCTGTAAAAGTTCAGCTTCAGGTCAGGATTCCAGAAGCTTCTAAGGCTCTAGTGCTACTTTTAGGGCTTCAGAAAAAGTCAGGAAGCGGAAAACGAAGAAATCGTATTGTTTGTCCTGGCGGAATCGTAGATTGTGGCTGTTTATATGTCTTTCGATGACTGACTGACCCGCGGTGACTCAAAAATTGCCCGAGGCAGCATGGACGAGGGCCCCGGAGAACACCAAAGGGAAAAGGAAAACATAAATCGAGCAAGAGAGAGAGAGAGAGAGAGAGAGAGAGAGAGAGAGGGAGAGAGAGAGCGAGAGAGAGAGCGAGAGAGAGATACAGAGATCGATGGGTGGGGCTGCACATTCTCAGCTGTCGCCACTATCAAACATCGGATGATGATGGATGGGCGTGTTGGTGGTCGGAAAGAAAAAGAGGAATAGCATGGAATGGAAATGGCATGGACAGCATCGGGAACATGTTGCCAGTTCATATTGAGGCTGGCATTTACATTAACAAAATTTCCAAAATATAATTCCGAATCGGCCAGAAAATATGGAAATCGGCATTGAAAACGCACCCAACTCCGGAGTACTGAACGATAAGATAAGTTAACCGAATTCGAAAAAGCCGATTTAGGTAAGAAGTCAATTTTACTCCCCGTCAGGACCTCCGTCAAGTACTCTGAAAACGCAAGGACACAACCTGTCTCCATTCGACAGTGCAAATTCGTGAAATTTGAAAGTTGCATGAAAAATGAATTTTAACATAGTATTTAATGCATTATAACCAGGGTTGAAAAGCCGCTTCGCGACTTTTTCAACCCTGGCCTCCGTCTTACCCCCATACTTCGTAACTTTGCATAAACACTTAAATTCCTGTGCAGAAAAATGAAAAGCGCGTCCTCTCCCCTATTATATAGGCTTCCTCCATTTCCGGTGCATGTAAATTGATTCCTAACAAAGAGGCCGAGCGAGATTTTCACAAAAACTTAATTTTAATGTCGAAAACAGCTGATTTTGAAAAATCTCATAGTCGTGCAGTCGTGTCATGACCATTACGCACCTAATGACGTATCATACGTACCCTTAACTTCCTCCCCTATTGAGATACGACTGGAACATACGGAATGGAACAAAAATGAATTTTAACATAGTATTTAATGCATTATAATTTTTAGATCGATAAAGCTTTTAAAATTCCTAATTCCGAAAACGTCCAAATTCCGGCCTATAACGAAAACTGAGGTCAAAACAGCTTGTGAAGCTACGATTAAAATGAAGCTCCATCGTTTCGGAGGCCCCCTCCTCGAGGGGGACCGCCCAGACTTGTGTGTAAAAAGATGCTATCTGGACAAATTTGCGGCCGGAATAACAGCCCAAATGCCTTAAAAATGGGTTTCGAAATCAGAACCCAGACTACAATGAAGATTGGATTACAAGATTGGAAAAAATATGGGGCACACATGCTATAGATCAAAAAATCATGGCGAAATATTCAATCAAATGCAATCTGAACGGACTTTTAAAGGTAGATGTAGGAAAGCGGATCGAATCCCTTCCATGGACTAGGTATCGACAACTACCGACGGGGTCAAAAATACGCCACAAGGGATTGCATTTAAGAGTTTACTACTTTATAGCACCATGAAATATGAGTACAGAAAGTCGCTACAGGTATTTTCGTACATCTGGGTGCTGTCGAGACCTAGTCGACAGTTGGGGTCGATTCTTGCTCTTACCAAGACTTTTAAAGGGATAGGGATGCGAGCAGGAAGAATTGGACCAGAAACGAGTTCAAAAAGTCAATTATGGGGGGTGCGAGCGGGAGCGTTAGTAGTGAGAGAGTGAGTGATAGTGAGAGAGATCGAGAGAACGAGAGGAACGAGATCCAAAAACCTGATCCGCCCATTGTTCAAAAAAGGGCACTGCTCTACCCCCTACCTATCCCTTTGAACCACTTCCACTCGACTGACCGCTGTGCCCTATCTACCCAGCTGATCCGCCGGCAACAGTAATATGGCGGAAATAATGGAGGTTATGGGGGGAATGGTGGTGCCCTGCCTATGGATAGATGGGTGTGATCGGGGTGTTGATCGGAATGCTAAGTGACAGTTATTGCCCCGCCTCACATGGGTTGGAGGATTGGCTCGAATGCATTCTGGGAGATCATAGGACCCCGCAACAAGCTATACATATGAGCAGGCGTTAAGAGGAATATTGCGGAATCGAAACGAGTTTAAAATTGGTGGATTTCAATGTAGGCAAGGGAACTAGCAGCGATTCTTAGGGAAAATCTCCCAGGATCGTCTTCTAACACCTCCTAGATTCAAATTCTACCATTCTAAAACGTAATCTTTATCTTCTTCAAGTATTTCAAAGACTAAAATTTCCCTGAAAAGCAAAGCAGGCTAGCAGAGAAACTTCGGGAAGAAGTGGAACTTTCCTTTCGTCAAGTTAAATAGAAGTGCGAAGTCAACCTAGCTAGGATTATTTACCACAGTGGATTCAGGTTTTGAAAGGCGATTTGTCTGCATCTCTAAAGTATTAAACGATTACGAAGCGAAATCTATCAAGCGTTTCCATAACAAAAGTTGCCCCTAAAGTTCTAGGGAAGCGGAAGCCCAGGGAATCAATTACGACATGTATTTTTAGTGCGTGTTAGTACGAATATACCCTCGTACATTTAGTAAAATTTCCAAATTCCGGAATTATAGGCTTTTCCGAAGTGCAATAAATTAATAAAAAGGGCTTTCAAACGTTCCAAGGCTCAATCCAATCAACAAAACGATGGGAGTATCTCGAATGAACCGTATCGTTTCCTGGGATCAAAAATTGGGCTTATCTCGTGAAGAAAGATCGTGTGGTATTCCGGAACACCCGCGGATTTCCCCTAATCCGTTTCTCATTAATTAAAAAAGGGAAAACGGGTTCTTTTTATGGAGGGGCCGAGTGTGATAGTGGAGACGAAAACAGAAACGGTAGTATCGAGCTCAATAAATCAGGACGTGGTGGGGATTGATATCAATTTTGGGGAAGGGGATCAAAGAACACGCTTTTCGAGGCGGTGTTAAAAGATATCACACACGATTCCATCAATTCAAAAAAACAAGACGATTTGGAAAAAAATTAAAGCTATCGAAAAAGCGTTGAAAAGCTTCGTAAAAAATATGTTTAAGCTAGCAATAAGCCAGCTTATTAACGCCCCAGTATTAAATCGGCAGACAAAACAACGCTTTATTTCTCTCACTCTCTCTCTCTCTCTCTGGCTCTGTCTCTCTCTCTAGCTGGTGCAAACCTGATGTGAAAAAATGAGAAAGGAAGGTCTAACAGTCTGAAAAATACCAAAAACAGGTTAGAATTTGTTTGGAATTAGTCGGGTCAACAAGAAAAAATGCCAAAAAAGCAATTATGGCCAAAAATAAGTCCAACCCTGCCGGCGGCAGACACTCCAAAAAAACCCAAAATCCATTTTCGGCGCCGTTTTTTGGGTGGCGAGGCCCGGGATCGGTTTCGCCGGGTTTAGGGCCCAAATTGTGGCCCGCCCCCCTCTCTGGCCCCCGGGAACAAGTGGACGCATTTCGGGCGGATTGGGCAAGAGATTGAGGAATAGATAGAGAGGACATAGATGTAGACGTTGGATGGCCAGTTGCCAGCCAGCCGCCAGGCTCAATGCCCGATCTACACGTAGCGAGAGGCCTGGGGGGTTATTGAGGCAATTATTTGGTAGGGGAGGGATGATACTAGATGTTATTGGATCATTTTCTGATTTTGAGGCGGTTTTCAAAAGGCCAGAAATTTACGCGTTCTCGGAAAACATCAAATTATTTGGAAAAATATAAACCCTCGAATTCGAACCCTTGAAAACAAGCTATTTAAATCTGACAAGAACCTTTTAATAGGCTCCAGCTTTCTATTTCGCCATAAAATGCAGCCGTTCACTGGAAAGAAATGGAAATGGAAAAATAAAACAGCCGGCAAATATCCCCAATTCTCGCTAGAAATTACTGAAAAATCCGCGTAAAAACCTGATAATTTCGAAGATAAAAATTAATGACTCCTCGTGAAGAAAGATATTTCAAAGAACTGGTGGTTTAACGAAGCGTCCGGAGTAATGCATCGGAAAATCGCCCACGAGTCGTTTCTTGTCGTAACTGCAAAATCCAGTTTGAATAAGTTATCCAAGAGCATTAATTTATTATTAAGAAACGCTTGAATTCAATGGCAAAAAGTATATAGAAAAACGTAAAGGTAAAAATTCACGCTCAATTGAGACAAAATTAGCATGAACCGGTGTGTTGAAAATCAGCCTGAAAATAAGCCCTGAAGTTGCTTAAAACGGTGAGTAAAACTTGCATTCTGCTTATTTAGCTCGTACTCAAAATAAAAAATCGCGCAAATACAGGTAAAATTGGCAAATATACGAACAATTCGGATATTCCCGGACAACAAGCTACACTCTAAGAATCCAACAGACTATGAGCCAATGCCACCAGACCAATATTGGTGCTCGCGTGTCCGAGTGCCATGTCCGGCGGTGTGTGGCTCGGAAATGTGCGGATCGAGAGCGAGAGAG